TAAAGCCAAATGGGAATGTATTTTCCTGCAGCGATACTGCACAGCTACATACATCTGCCGCCACCGCCGCCATCTTGGTTCTTCTTGGATTCTATTCTATTCTATTCTATTCTTTTCTATTCTATTCTATAAATGAAAATAAACATATTGTTACACATATGCTGCTATGTTATTTATGCCACAAAGCATTCTGAGTAAATAATGTAAACTGGTTGCTCTGGTGCAAGCTCCATCCAGTTTGAAGGTTAATTTTGGACAATGCATACCTGCCAACATTTGGCAACATGATGGCAATTAGGGACATCTCCACGTATTAGAGAGAAAAGACTAAATGATGAAGGAGACACCAGAGCTGCTTCATGGAAGGAGAATCTAAGCTTTAGACTGGTAGGTTTGCAGAGAAATATCAACATATTAAGACCAACATGATCCTTTTAAATTCTGCAGCTTTGATGAGTAAACCTAAAAAAGCATAAAAAGTTTAAAAAGTTTAATTTTCTGTTAGTTAAAACTTAAATACAATCTGCAACAGGTTGTGTGAGATTATATCATCCAATCCGCATCTGGATTTGATCACATCTTATTGGCAGGACAAAAATCCATGACCACATTCTAAAGGAACACAAAAATGAGGTCAAGATCACAAAACTCTATCTGCAAGCCTAATTAGGGATTGCATGTGATCATCTTACCTTCATAAACCCAATCTGGGATCCCATTTAAAACCTTATTAGTCTCTCCGCTGAAGGTGACTTGCTGAGGTGGTGTCTCTGGGTTGGTTTTTAWGTACACATTATTCCCCCAAACGTAGGCCTGGAGACACAAACACATTTTTAAAAACATGGCCTTTTGCTCTGATCCTACCAAGTGAGGGTTTTTATGGGGGAAAGTTGTTTGTTAATCCACTTAAAAGCTGCAGGATTACCAGTTTATCCCCTTCAGGGGCCCAGGCGAAGTACTGGACTTCATCAGGAATGGCAGCAGGGACAAACTTTCTGAAAGACATTAGTGCACCTGGAGTGAGTGTTCCCTTTGAGCTGCAGTACGTTTAYGATTCTTCTAAAATATTGCTTACTTTAAACTCCGGTCATACAGTGAGTAGGACACTGTGAACGAGTGTCTCCACAACTTTGTAGGAGAAAAAACACAAAGCAGGTCAGAAGATTGTTAATTAGCACCAGGTGGGGCACAAATGTTCAACGTACCTTAGTGTAGTTACTCATGAACGCAACATATCTGCGGTCAGCAGACAGCTGGTAGTCATAAGCATCTTTTTCAGCCTGTGTTGTAAACAAGACCATAGAGAGTGAGTTTCACACTGCATTTGTTTGGACAGACTTGTAGAATTTATGCCAACGTCGTTACGAGACGACTCACAAACATTTCGGGGCTCAAGAATTCTGAGGACACGTTATTGATGATGTCATAGAGGAAGATGATGCCATTCGATGAGTGCAGATACTCGTAATCTGTGGCACAAGGTGAAAGAAAACCAGAGTCAGAGATCAAGCAATGTCTGCCTCCACCATCAGTGTTCGTGTGTGTACTTGTTTTTACCACAGAGTGAGGACCATTTGCACCATAGTTACTATCAAAGTGAGGTCTTTGATGTAAAGTGAGGACCACTTCAATGTCCTCACTTTATTTGCAGCTCTGCTGTACTTTGATAGTTAGGTTTAGAGGTATGGTGTGAATTAAGTTTTGGTTCAGATTAGTGTTAACTATAAGCCATTAATGATTAATTTTAGGGGAAATGTCTGGGTTAGGCATAAATACATTTACAAAAATGAATGGAAGTCAATACAAAGTCCTCAGTTTGATGCAAATACAAGGAAATGTGTGTGTGTGGACTGGCATTTCCTATGTTGTGGGACAGTTTTTTTGTTATACAAACCTACTTGTGGGGACCTAATGTTAATTATGGGTACCTGATTGGTACTTATGGGTCCCCATGAGGGGGTTGGGTTTKGGACCAATGTGTGAATTGATTTTAAGTTAGTTTTAGGGTCAGGTAGGTACCTGTGAGGTTAGGGTTAGGGTTGGTGGTCAGGGTTAGGCTGTAGAAAATAATGGAAGTTAATGTCAGGTCCCCCTAAAAATAGCTGTACCAGATTGTGTGTGTGTGTGTGGGGGGGGGGGGTGAATGACTAGTGTAAAGTGTTTTGGAGTCTGATGGGACTTGATAAAGTACTATGGGTTCAGTCTATTTACTATTTATGACTCGTGATTATTTAATGCTGATGCATTACTAAGCGACCAGTTTTCTGAACAAACTGAACTTTGGAAWACAAAAGAAGCCTGATTATATTTTTACATTCACGGCACAAACAGAAATAGCAAAGTAATGATAGTTGGTGGTTTGTTCATTTTTTAGGCTAATGCTAACAGCTGTTCCCAACATCTAAAATTTTATTAATGTTGCTCCTGCTGTGTTTATGAGCTTGACAAGTTAAAAAATAACCTCACCTAAGAACATGTATATTGTGTTGAACACTGGCTTATTCAACTATTTGACTGTGTGTGTAACATGGTGTACCCAACATGCTAGCGTGGTCCCAAAACTGGTATTTAGAAGACAGATAAAAAATGTGTTTAGTCGTCACTTGGGCTGCAACAAATAATTGTTAAAAATAGATTATTAAAAGTCTTGGCAACAAATTTCATAATCGGTTTGTTGTGTCGGGTGATTTATGATGGTATTAATTTAATGACTGAGCTTTAAGTTTTAATTTGCTGACAATGTCTGAGCGAAGACAATTGCCTTACTTTCCTTAACCTAGTATTGCAAATAAAACAAAGCATTTATTGAATTATTGTAATAAGCAGCTGTCTGGACTGAAAGTCTTCTTAACATGATTATCACTGACATGAGACTATCCATGAGACTGTCCATGAGACTGTCCATGATCCATGAGACTGTCCATGAGACTGTCCATGATCCATGAGACAGTCCATGAGACTGTCCATGATCCATGAGACTGTCCATGATCCATGACACTATCCATGAGACTGTCCATGAGACTGTCCATGAGACTGTCCATGATCCATGAGACTGTCCATGATCCATGAGACAGTCCATGAGACTGTCCATGAGACTGTCCATGATCCATGAGACTGTCCATGATCCATGAGACTGTCCATGAGACTGTCCATGATCCATGAGACTGTCCATGATCCATGAGACTGTCCATGAGACTGTCCATGATCCATGAGAC